AGGAACCGAGAAGGACAAGGAAGAAGCCCTGTGCTCTTGCTTCAGCTCTCTACAGCTGCTCTTACGCACTGCTCGGTTGACAAGGAAGATGGAAAGCTTGTTGTTGCATCGAATTCTACCTTTCGCCTTCGGTATCTTAGGTGACCACCAAGTTCTTGGATCAAACCTGTTAACTCCGTCACTGATTGCTACTTGACCATAATAATTTGCAGGCAACATCGTCTCATTGATGGTTTTTCTTTCCCCAATGTAAGTATTAGAAGCTCCCAAGTCGGTCTGATTCATCCTTGATTCCCTGCTGGACTCATGTCTCTCGTCGATCGTCACAGTCTCACGTTCTACCGGATTTATCGGAACAAATCAACAGGAGAATTCCAATCGACGCCATATGTTTTCTCTTTATTCAGCTGCAGTTTGTGGATCTATTATGCTCTCGTCAAAACTCACTCGGTCCCCCTCATCACCAACAACGCATTCGGATGCCTCATCGAGGCCACCTACATCACCATGTACCTCATCTACGCCACGAAGAAGGCTAGGGTTTGTGACTACTATTTGCTTCCTCGGTGCATATATCTACGATAACATGTACTAAAAATGCATGTCTTGCGGGATCTTGAGTCGCAGATCTTCACCATCCGAGTCTTCGTCCTGGTGAACGTGGTGGCTTTTGCTGCGATCCTTCTCCTCACTCAACCATTGATTACTGGTACTAAACGTGTGACGGTACTTGGATGGATCTGTGTCGCCTTCTCGCTTAGCGTCTATGCCGCTCCATTGGGCATCATGGTAACAACAGTACTACAATCTCTCTCTCTCTCTCTCTCTCGCGCGCGCGCGCGCGCTCATGTCCCATTGTGCGAATTCAAATGTTCAGATGCGTGTTATCCGCACAAGGAGTGTGGAGTGTATGCCATTCAACATACCGCTGTTCCACATGCTGAGCGCGATTGCATGGTTTGGCTACGGCCTGTTTACCGACGACGTATACGTTGAGGTAAACCATCGCAAACACGACGCATGCGGAAGCCGGTCTTCTGTTCTTACGTTCCTGTTTTCATGGCGAACACATGCATGCAGCTCCCTAACGTTCCAGGGTTCGTGATTGGAGTCGGACAAATGGTGCTCTACGCGATATATAGGAAGAAGAGCGGTGCTGTGGTGGACGCGGCCGAGCACGAAGTCAAAGTGGCGCAGCCGACGCCGAGCCCAGCTTCGGTGCGGCAGCACATCGTCAGGATTGCGGAGCACGTGGTCAGGATGGTGGAACTGGACCCGACCCTGGATTCAGAGCCTCAGGTTATCGCCGGCGAGAATGATCGCGAGAAGAAGAAGAAGATCGACGTGGCGGAGCCGCCCCTAATTTCAACTCCAGAGTTGGACAACCACGACGACAAGAAGAAGAAGGCGAAGGAGGAGAACGACATGGGTGTGAAGAAGCCAAGGATAGTGGTGGAGCACATCATCAACATCCGTGAGCTGATATCAGTAGTAGCTTAAGAGGAGGAGAAGCAGGCGAAGGACAGACATACCATGTGAGCTGAGAAGGGGCGCGAGAGTAGTACATTGTGAGCCATGATCTCGCAACGAAGCCGTTCCCATTCCTCGCCTTTAGTTCCAATCATAGGCGGTTTATATCGATTTATATCAAGTGCGAATTCCATAATTCCATTTAGCTTTTCCCTATATTTATATTAAGATCTTTATATTTAAAAATATTTAGAAAAATAAAATATTTAATCCGATTGGTTTAACAAAATCTCTTTATTTCTAATCCTACAAATTTTACTTTTTAGTTAATATAAGGATCTCAATATTTTAATTTTATAAATATAAAGATCTCAATATAATTTTTAATTAATTATAAAAATAATATATAATTAACCCTTACCATCCTTTACATATCTCTCATAAAAGTAAGTAAATTATAGGGTGAAGTGACAAATCCATCCTTAAGATGAATAAATTATCACTCCACTCCTTCACGTATAAAATTTATGATATTATAACGTAAATAAATTTATTATATTTTTTTAGACCTCCATCAAATACATAGTTTAATCCAAAACAACACGTGGCTTCAGAACCTAAGATTCATATTTCATTAATTTAAAAACTTTTGTCATTTATAATATTTTTTATAAATATGATATTATAAACTTTTGTCATGTAAATCAACTCATATGCTAAAATAAGATTCATATTTCATTAATTTAAAAACTTTTGTCATTTATAATATTTTTTAATAAACTTATAACATTTTAAGAAACATAAATCCATTAAAAAACATTATAATCTAAGAACTGGACTGATTCGACTGATGCATAAGGTGTATGAGAAAGAAGAATTACACTTCATGGATGATTATAGCAAAGAAGAATATCCTGCAACAAATATGAAAAAAAGTCTCTGAGAAAAAAAACCAAAAAAAGAGAAACTCTTCTCGAAAATTCACCCCCTTAAAGAATTAGATGTGTATTACCGTTAACTCGAGTTCAAGTATTTTTAAAAGAATTATGCTCAATAAATTAATATCTCTTTCATCTAACGAGGATACCAACATTAATTAGTTATCTTATACATAGAGCAGTCGACATATTCTGCTCACTTTCACCAGCAAAATGCTGCTTATGGCCATGACATTGTCATAGGAATGTTGTTTTGCTGTATTCTTCGATGATGGGTGTAGTTAGAATAATAAGATCTACAAATGCACTAAATGATGCACGCAGAAACCTTGCCTCCACTGCTTCAAAGTGCCTGTGCTAACAGGCAAAAGAATAATAAGTCTCGAAAAAGAGTCATTCAACCAAAATAGACACAACTTACACTAGAGAGAGAGAGAGAGAGAGAGAGAGAGAGAGAGAGTCATCTTCTATATCTAGGTATATAATGGATGACAAGGAAATTAACAAGAGCTAGCTTTTATGAACCTCCTTATAGCATATATAATGTTCACATGTTCCTTCGATCCATAATCAACTTCAAAGTCAGTACTGACCAAAATGCTAGTAACTGAAGAATGTAGAACCATTTACAATAAGAATGAAAATCACATGTAGAAATATACATTCAAATCTGCAATAAATAGAAGGCAAAGCTTGAACGTAAGCAAAACCAGAAATGAATATTCCCAAATAGTGGGCTAACAAAAAGGCTGAGAAGTTTTCTACAGCCACTTCAATAAATGGAAAAATTCATGTGTGGGACAAAAACAAAACAAATAACCGGGCCTGGTATGCAATCATGTAATTGATGCAACCATTGAAGGAAGGCAGAAGAAAGAGCCAATAAGCATACATCCACCAAATGTTACTATCTTATTCATGAAATTCCTGCTTTGAACAAGATATAGCTGCTGCACATGTAATGTTTTACCAGCATCCACGATATTTATTTCAATCCATAAAAACCAGAGTTTTGTTCTTTCTAGGGAATTATGAATGCTACAACCTTTCTATTTGTCACGTAAAATTTGTGTTATAAAATTTCTTAAGTTTTCTATCCAATTAGAAAAAAATATTGGGCAATTAGACAAGGTAAGTCCATATTTCTTCTTGATTCTTCCCAAAGGAAGGTTATAACTGCATAATAATCAGTGAAGTCATCCAGAATCTACTTCAATCATAATTTCTTAATTATACTCGCTTATAATCAAAATGGGATTCCTCATAATGTTCATGTTTCACGCATAGATGCCAATTTAGGACCATTCAATGGAAAACGAACGCCATCCAGTCTGTAGAAGCTAAAATATAAAAGCAACTCCATTCATAAATCAAAACCCTTGTTTGGCTAAAATATCGCAGAGATTCTATCTCGAAACCACTGGAGTCTCCGTGAAACAGTAAAGGTTGCAACTTTTCGGTGGAAAACCCCCAGAAAAGATATTATACATGTAGGACAGCGGGCAAATTCGCCATTTAAATCGGGTAAAAGATGCCACACGTTCCACGTTATCGCCGGAAAGAAACTAGTTATATCAACAGCAAGTAGGACAAGAGAGGGAATGAAGAACTCACCATCTAAATTCCCACCCGGAAGAAGAGAGGGATCCGAAGTCGGCGTTGGCTCCGGTGTCGCAGACCATCGGATCCATCGATAGCGGTCACCGACTGGGGCGACGGGGATTACGAATTAGGGTCTAAGAGGGCGCGCGGCTGCGCCATCGAGCGGGACGAGATTAAGTGGGGGGTAGCGGGTTAGCGGCTTTAGATCCGTACCAGGCCGAATGGGTTGACGGGTTTACCCCTTTTCACGTGTAACGCACCCGCCTCTGCCATTTGATATTACTTATTTGCCCTCTAAACTTAACCAGATGTCCAATACGCCAACTGTCTAAGTGTCTATGTAATTAGCGCTGACCCTTCCGAAACTGACTATTCCGGTTTCCTAAAAGCAGCCAACAAAAACGAACCGAAAAGTTTTAATTTGATTTCGATTTAAACCGTTGTTTTTTTTATTTTTCAATTGAAAATATAATATATATATATATTATTTTAAACTTTAAAATTTGAATGTATAATGAGTGTAATAGCATAAAGAAACAATGAGTAAATATTTTTTGGTCAAAAGTTTGAAATAAATTATAATTTTTTTTCGTAAAAAATATGTACAATATGAGTAAGAGCAGTAGGAAGAACACGTTAATAGCGGGATTTAAAGCGTTTTTTATAATCATCAATAAAAAAGACTTTTTTTTAACCAAAATTAAAAAAATAAATGTTTAACTAAAATAAGTCTAACTAATTTCTTCATAATTATTTTAATAAAAAATAAAAATAGGGTTAGAGGTATAACCAGAAATTTGTGTTTGATTTTTTTTTTTGTCGACTCTAGATTATGTTGATATGACCCGACAATTATAATTGGATCATATACCCTTCATTATTTCTTAATAATCAATATTATAGTTTAACCAATATCAAATGCACCAGTTCTGGATTGATGTCCTAATTTTGAGTTCCCAATTGACGTAATTGAAATCAGTTGCATCATATTTTAATATCTAGAATCTTAATCAAACACGAAAATAATCAATTGCATCAGCTGACCTTTTGCATGATCAATTTGCAAAATTGATTGAACCCAATTGACGTAAATTAAGCTCAGGATGATCACGATTGAATCTTTGGACCTAAATGACTCGTGTATAACACTCAACCCATGCAGCAGCTGTCGTCGTCTACCTCCCCAATTATGTGCGCCAACAACCTTTTTCCATGGATCATTTTGACCTCTCTTGTCCAAGTGCAATGCCTGTACATAGCTTTGAAGATACGGCAATCTCAACAACATCTTTCACCACTGCTCGATCGCCATTTACAGGTCAAGTAGGCTGAAACGTCATAATCCAGCACTAGCAATCAGTATACAGCAGCTGCATGTCTTCACTTGGAATGATGGAAAGTGTCCGGTGGCTCGCTCGGTATACTTTCTATGATGGCGACAACTTCCACAGAAGCATTTCATCGAGCACCATGAAGTCACTTTATGGACTCGACTGTGGATAGTCTCTGCAACATGGAACGCGTTGTAAAGCCAGGAAGAGTTGACTTCTTCATTGAGGCTCCTCCGTCGTGGTCTCGTCGGCACAAAGCCGAAGTAGGAGGAGCATGTGACGGCCACTTTGCATCATTCCTCTACCATATATGTTGCTCCAGGCATGGCAAGACTGTTGTCGGCTCGTTACAGATCGGTCATTTCGTCAAACACATAGGAACCGATGGAGAGGGACTCGCTGGAGTTGACAAAGAGCTCAAAAGATTAGGACGCCCCCAAGTGCTATTGGCTCACCGGGGTTGACCATCGATCTCGGTGGGCGTAAAAGTCTCTTCTTCCATTGCCCGCACCTCTCCCCAAACATTGTGATCGACAGCACAGCCAACATCTCCCACTCCATATATTGCCACTGACATCTCTTGCTCAGCATCTTCATCTCTCACCATGACTTCCAGCTAAACAAATCCTCACTCATGAGCAGATTTGCTTCTTCTTCTGCATCATCTCGACACATTCTGCATCAGCTAAGTCATGAGTAATCTGAGCCTCCCAAGAGCCATGATGATGTTTCATCAAGTTTACGACAGAGGTTAATAGCATAAGCTTCCAAGAGTTGGTTCTTTCCCCTTCACTCCGAGTGATCATAACAACAACAGAGTAATAGTAGGAGGAGTTGATCCTTCTTGTGAAGCTTTCTTTGCATGGAAAAGGTTGGAGGAGATGGCAAAGAAAAGAGGGCGAAGGGGCTGATACTGAAGACCTTGGAACGGTGCCGGTCGATGGCCGGCCAGCGCAGAGGAGGAAGGCAGGAAGCGCCGCCGGAGGGGTGCTTCGCGGTGTACGTCGGGCCAGACAGGGAGCGGTTCGTGATCCGAACCGAGTGCGTGAACCACCCTCGCTTCAGGGTGCTGCTGGAGGAGGCGGAGATGGAGTTCGGCTACTCCAACTCCGGCCCTCTCGAGCTCCCGTGCCATGTAGAGGTCTTCCATGAGGTCTTGTGGGAGATGGAACAGGAGGCGGTGGAGTCGTCTTGGTGCATCGTCGGCAGAGGAGGAGGAGGAGGAGGACATGGCGGATATCGTTCTTTGAGGTCGGTCAACCGATGAAACATGCTACGTGCTCTTTGCTTCCTTGTTCATGTCTGAGGACACGCAGACTTCGATCTGCATGTCAATCTCTTTCCAAAGTATAATAACTGTGTTACGAGTTCTTGAGTTACAACTCGGTCTTCTTCTACACAAGGATTCTTGTCTGCTTGATCACTTCTACTTGTAGAGTGATGTAGCTTGCAAGCATAGCCATCTGTGCCTACTGCAAACTTCTTCCTTTGAACTTACTGCAAGTGCTGTGCTTCTAAGAACTTGGTGAAATCAAATTTGAAAGAGATTATTATGATGTAACTTTGAGAAGAAGACAAACAAAAAAAGGGGAATTCCCAAGCTTTTTTTGGTTGGCAGTAACTGGAGCAGCAGCAGCACTTGGAGACAGGAAGGGTTAATGGATTGGAACAATAGCTAGAAATATCACAGCTTTGTTGGTTTGTCCTTGGGGGAATCTCCACTGTTCATTGTAGTATTAGATGCTCCAACAAAGCCTGTGTAGTATCTCATAGAGAACTTTGGGGGACACAGATGAGATTGCAATCAAATCAGAGGAATAAATACTGAAGTCCATCAAGATCAATAGATAAAGCTAAACTCAAGATTTAGAGTTCATCAATAGTAAAAGAAAAGATGTAAAGAAGCAAAGGATTTATAACTACAATCCATTCATGCATTTGCCAAATAGAAAATTTATAGTATGATATGTTGGTAGTAAGACTTGACAACAAACATCCAATAGTGCATTTCACAAGACATATTGAGTAGTAATAAGCAAAATGTTGATTGATTGCTAATAGGATGAAAAGATTTCGAATTGATAAGACAAAGATAGCATGAACTCTAACATGTTATGTACTCCCAAATTTGAATCCCGTTTTTGTCTATATGTATCATCAGATGAACTGTGCTTCTGTCATTGTGGAAGCAGGAAATTAGTCTTTCATGATAGTTAGAGGTTGCGACTCTCAAGCTGTTTCTTACCAACTATGTTACTAGATATTTACAAGTAAAATAGATG